GAAATGGAACTTGGAAACTGCGGTCGGAGGCGAAATCAAAAAGCAATCAAGGTACCCTATTACGTACCCCGGGAATAATGTCTGTTTTTTTATCGGCTTGTTTGACGGTTAGCAATAACGGTTGGGTCGGTAAGGGTCCTGACGGATATTTTTGTTCTAACAAAACTGTGAGTTAATAATTTAATCCGGTGACATTGAAAATCAATATTTCGATGATTGTCCATTTAATAGTCGATGACAAGTAAATGTTTGTTTGAAGACAAATTTTTCCTGTTGCTGTTTGTATCCGTACGCGAATAAATAAAGTATTTTCGGATTTGTAAAATCCAAATCAAACCAGTATCAATTCTTTACCTCCTAATCTTTCCACTGTTAATAGTTAAATCATGTTGTATGACAATTTAAAGAATAATTTCTCGACTGGACCAATCATTTGGTCTTACAATTTCCCAAATTTAATAATCCGCAGAAGTATAAGTAGGGTGAGGTGCGACCATTTAGTTTGATGCATATCAGTCTAGTTAATAGATCAGGTGCATTTCCCGGGTATCGGAAACCCTCAGTGTTTTTTATCGAAGTTTATCCGGGATTGTAAATGTTTCACAGACAATTTTATTAACGTATTATTGTTGTATTCCCTTAATATGGGGCTTGAAGGAACAGAGCGGTAATAATTTCAGTGAACTGTAACCGGTTAAATTACACCAGGTAGAGTGTTAAAATCTCTTTACCCGTAAATATGATTGGACATTATCACCGGTATTTTCCAGTTTCAACAACGATTTGTGCAGCGGTTTTGGTTGCTATCCCTTGGCTGCGCATTTGGATCACGGGGTAATAGGCGAATTGGAAGGTTGAAAACAGTGCTCAAGAGAAAGTGAAGAATTACGGTAGTCTAAGGTTGCAAAGACATTGAGAAAATGCACGAACGCCAATATTTACGACACGACCATATCACTCTGTGTCTTTGATCACTGGTTACAATGATCCAGAGGTCCGCATCCATAAAGCCTAAAGCAACCTATATGACCAAGTGTCCTGGTTGGTGTTTTCATACTCTCATGTCACGTCTTAGTTTGACTGTTCCCTCCCCCACCACTTGCAAACACGCAATCGGGGCAATCTAGTTGTTGACATGCCTAACATTTGAATCAAACAACGTATTCTGTGTCTGATCACTTGCTCCAGTGGGAGATCACCATTACATAGAATTCTGCCTCTAACCTCAGCATTAATTGTTCGGTTTCCCCTCCAGACCCATGTAAAGCTGCGTCCCAGCGATGTTCGAACACTGACAATGTATCTTTATCCAATTTTTGTTTTATGAAAGTGCCGTACAACAGCGCTGGCGTTACTGCTGCAGCATACGTTTGACCCTTCACAAACAGTCGAATGTCGTGACGGCGCCACAAATGTCTCAATTTGGCAAATGCCAATCCAGCCTTATGTATGCGTGCCGACACTTCATCTGTGAGATATTGCTGCACAGTAAACTGTTCTGCAAACTGTGGGACCAACAGCAATCATTCAAATTGTCACCACCACCATTCCCGCGTAACCTTTCTAGTTCTCCGTATCCGTTGTTGTTATGGAATTAACTGTTTCCTTCTAGTTGAGAAATGAAATAATTGTCTATTACAAACGACTGTCAGATGTTTGTCAAATGAAACCTGTTTCTCTGAGAAGCTGTAAACGAAATTCAGCAAATTGAAACTGAAAATATCCACCGAAAATATATTCCATTCGCAATTCTAGTCCAGAACAATATCGGTAAATCTCACAGGTATAGATCTGCCTGTAACGGATGCAAAGGGTTGCTCATGATTTTTGTGGACAACGAAATACATCATTTGTATGTTATGAAACGATGAAGTGACAGAGAATTTCACAGGAAATCCCAATTCTTCTAGATAAATGTGCTAAGAATCTCGCAGGCAATTTAATGGCCTTCTTGAACATCAGTAGGAAGATTACAGGGTACCCGTACATCCATAGGGACAAAATACAACCAAAAAGAAAATGGCTAATCAAGTTTCGAGGGACGAGAAAAGCTTTCAGTAGTAGAAAATAAGATGATAATTTCCTAACCTTTACAAATAGTGAAATAACTTGGTCAGGCCAGCATAAATTTCGGTTGATTAGCACACGGGAATAGCTGACATTCGGAGGTCGGATAATGGTATGATTACGTGTTTCTCTTAGGACAAGATTCTAAACGATTTGCTTAGCGGTTCCCTTTGAGAAGTGAGAACAGCATTTCTAGGCAGTTTGAGAGATCCAGAGTTGAATTATGGATAGTAGACCACCCACCAAGGTTAGAAGGGCCAAGTTAAAGAGTAGTGATAAATGCATCAGGTTGGGCGATTTCGACCACAAAATCATTTACGTGTTTAATGAGCAGGGAATTTTTAAAAGTAGGCATGGATGAAATATATGTGGCAAGAGAAAAAGGAGGACAGAATGGCACCCTGTAGTATGCCTAGTGTAGAAAGTAACTAAGAGGACGAACGACCAAGGTAACCTGTGAATTCTGATCGATTTGTGAAATAGTCTGTGAGTACTGCAGTCGTGGAATGCGATATCTCACTGGAATATAAAATATTTAACGGCTTATACCTGTCTACACAATTGAAGGCGTCGCTGTAATCCAAGAAACATTCTGACAACTCTCTCAATTCCGTCATGGGCTGATAGAATATAGTGGACTAGAGAATCTACGGCATCTGGTTTGAGGCGATACCGGTACACTCCTTAAGGACGGCAGCCTCCAATCTGCGGAGACCAGGTAATTTAATGGGTTTGAGAACCAGCAAATCCCTCTAAACATCCTCTTGTTGAATAGTGAAGGGTTCCATAGTACTGAGGTTGGTATTTGTACTGAAGATGGCCAGCTCCATCTCTCTGGTGCTGGTTCCTTTAATGAATGTTTTACTTAGCCCCTCAACGTCTATTGTTGTTTGAGATATGATTGAGGACTGACTAATCAGTTGCTTGATAGGGTTCCAGGTCTGGCGGAAAGTTTCGTTGTGCCAGAGTGCGCGCGTGTAGATTCCGTTCAATCGATATAGCTCACTTTTGATAGCAACCGATAAGAGTCTTACTCTCTGAAGATCTTTGAGTTTGTGTGCTCTTTCCTTGCTCCAACGTAAATGTTGCAGATGAGGAAACGAGATGTGGCCACACCGATGGTATAGTGTCTCCCAAGAACAGCAAAAGTTTAGATACTGTGTTGGGTGTTCACAATAAGTGGAAGGATTAGAGTGATAGAACAAACTGGGGCGCGTAACCTCGTAGCTCAGTTGGTAGAGCGTGCACTGTACAAAAGCTTAGGCGGCGTAAATGAGTAAGTTCGATTCCCACCTAGGTTACTGAACTATTCAAAATTCTAACATAAGACTTCAACCTGCCAAACAACCATTTGAACACTGAAGTCTGTTTGGGAGACCATCTCACTGAGCTTCTCTAGGTTTTCTGAGTTAAATTGACGTTCCTTTCTTTTGTTGTCGCTGCTTCTCCTGAAGGTTATGTGATTGAACTTACGGCACACATTTTGGGAAACCCTAATTAGAACATGATCAGAAGACCCAAGAGGGGAGCGCAAGAAAGACGCAAGAAAGACAGACAAAACACGTCCAACTGAGCATTTAGACTTGTTGGGAAGTTCTTCATGTTTATCAAACCAAGAGGCAGGTTTCAACACGTTTGAAATCATCACAGTTGATGAATAGCGAGGAATCAACATAACTCATGAAAGCTATGGAAATAGTACCTGAAAAAAAGTTTCTCCGAGGGACAAAAAGAGGAAATATAAATGTTAGCTAATACAATCGACCGAAAGCTACTTAGGGGCCTAGGCTTACATTGATGTATGAAAGCACAAATGTAACCAGTGGAGTGAGCGACTTTTTGATTTGCATTACTGCACCAGTTGTTATTAATATAAGTCACCGGGTCCCCTACATACTTTTGATACGTTTCCGGACAATCGACTCGGTATCTAGTGAAACCATCGAGTTTAATAATCTCCTCATTATCTTGTAATATTTCTGCGCCTAGTTTAGAATATTCCGTACGGTGCACAAGATCAGATATATTTGCTGATTTCCAAAGCAATGACTGGAAGTTCCTGCTGATAATGATACGTATATTTATTTTTGAGAAATTGTTTTGAGACATTCCTACTCTCCATCCACACTGATGCTCCCTCCAATGTCCATACGATGTTTCGTACATCCTTTTATATTTGTTGTTCGCTGATTTTTCAGTTTGAAGTACCCCTGAGGGAAATTAGAGTTTTTCATATTTTCCTTGATGGCGTTATGGAATTTTGCGACTGGCGTCAACGTAATCACCCAAAATCGTTAAGGCAACGAGCCACAAGGCAACTGGTGTGTAAAAACAACGAAAATTTCAGTGACTATTTAACAACGATACAACAGAAAACAACAGCATTGCCAAATTTGTAGGCGCCACCAACGTCTGTGTTTCCTTTATACACAATAAAGCAGAACCCATCTTTGATAAGTTAACGCAGACATCACACCTTACGCACTTCAGTAATAAATTCCAGCGTTATGAACGAGTTAGAAACTTTCCAACCCGATTAAATGAAGGAAATTAAAAGTGGTCTGATCAGCTGCCTGGTGGTCGAGTGAGTGGTTTGATGGCCCGTGAGGTTTCAGGTTCGATCTCCAACTGTGATGATTAATTTGCACTGTTGATAAGCAGGTTAAAACAGCTGGCCAGTGCATCCTAGCTTTACAGTTTGCGTTTCATTTGCTCTTTACATGATGAAATTCACCATAGGAACAACCGAAATCCTTCATTTCTCTCATGTAATATCAGTAGACATTGATTTTATGCACAATGCCTAGATGCGAATGCTTCATGAATATAATATCAATTGTTGCTCAAATGAAAAAGCGTCAATTGTTTGATGGTTTCTAACAGGAATCAGCAACACAAGTCCCGAAACGCATAGCCTTTCAGAACCTGGTCTTATGGAACGATCGATGAGAAGTAGCTTGACCAAGAAATCCATCCGTTGGGTCCCCGATTTGGATGTACCAGTCTCTGAATGTCGCCCTTCATTCACGGACAAATCAGTGTGGCGCTCTAGCGAGGAACAGTATCCGACAACTAGTCATAGTGTCCGTTTGCATCCGGGGCAAATCAGTCAGTTCGCATCCAATGCAACCAATCACACATGGTCTTCCGGGTCATCCAGTTCGTTGGAAGTACTGGATGCAAAACCGCCCTTGGTTTCCGAAAGCGAGTCCAGTGACAGCAGTGGTCCACGAACTGAATTAACATACGGACCGAGTGATGCAGAGCGTGCGGGAATACGCTGTGGTTCACGGAGGAAGGCTATGTGGCATCGTCATTTTCATATCAGAAGCGGAAGAGATCCCAGAAGGTAGTTGTTTTTACGTAGTGGCGATTCCGTCTCCACTTATGTAAATATTTGATCGTGCATCGATTTTCTCGAACAAGTTTGATATAAAAAATGTTGCAACCTTTCCTGAAATCAGAGAGAGGCAACTAATGTTAATATTATATATATGCTATGAGTTAGCTTACTCCTTGCTCATTTTTCATTGGAAATAGAGCAGATTGATTTTGGCTGACACAGTTTGGATTAACACGTACACAGAGTTATTGTACCTTTCTGTTTTCCTTTGCAAGATTTCTCAACGTTGCATGCTTACATGTTTGCAAACGTGAACCAAAGACATGAGCCACTTCTATCCCGCTTGGTTTGTTCATGGGTTTTATGCCATTCCGAGCCGCCCCTCCCTAAATCGAACAGAAGTAAGAAGACGATCGTATCAGCTCATCGATACCTCATTTTATGAAATGCTAAAATTTGTTTTTCTGGAAAGAGATTCCTATCACCTCAGTCAAACAAACATTGCTCATGAAGTTAGAGAAAAATGTAATTCATTACAATTAGTAATATATTCATTGACTATCTACCATATTTCGTTCTCACGCAAAATCCTCAGTTCACCGAGAAAATGATACACACACGGGAAGTGTCACAATCGGATTTTGTTCTTGTTAGAACTCATCAGTTGTGCATAATAACCGTCCCATCTGGGGTGGGAAAAACTCCGGACCGGAAGTCATATATACCATTGTTTTTTATCACACAAAAGTGAATACAGTAAAAGGGGTACACTCCATGATTCGAAAATATACTGTAAGTGGGGAGGTATGGGGAACATTCAAGCTAGAACCAGCTTGTTGATTCCGTATTCAAAAGCATGTATTTTGTACGTTGGAGGGAAGACCGAACGAGGGAGAGTGTTACACAGTTGTGCTGTTCTTGGGAAAAATATGATCAAAAGTGAGAAATGCGACACCTGGGGATAGTCATTTGAAATGGGTGGCTAGCCGCTTGTGCGCGGGATCTACGAGGAAGAACAAATGGGAAAGTTCATCAGAGCAAAATCCAAAGCAGTATCAATAGAACAAGGATAAAGAAACGACTATCCGTCGGTGAGCTAGTGACTGTAAGTTGAATGTTAGGGACGGG